TTCCGCGTGAGAGTAGACGACGGTATATCAGGGTCTGCCAAAGCTTGCGGTGGAATCCCCCAAGGTTCGGTGCTTGGTCCAATGCTGTTCCCCGTAAACATCAACGACATGGTCCGTGGTCTGCACTCACCGCTCTACTTGTTTGCCGACGACGTCAAAATCGTAGGCCGGCTAGATGTGCCACAATTGCAAGAGGATCTGAACAAGATCCAGGAGTGGACAGTTCAACGGGAACTCCTTCTGAACCTAAGCAAGTGCCAACAGTTGATGTCAGTCGGTACAATTAGCAATGGTCGAAGTGCGACCACGGAAAAGCATCTACCTTTAAAGAGGAACGACGACATTAGGGACTTGGGTATCGTCATAGACCAGACCTTCAAACCCACGCCTCAGTGTCTGGCAGCTGCGGCCAAAAGTAATATGGCACTTCATCTGCTCGAGAGGAAAAGGTGATGATTCCACTGTACAAGGCTCTTGTGAGGCCACATCCATACCTTTTCAACTTCAAGTGAATCCAACCAGTCGCACTCCATTGGCAACCCCGACAAAATGATTGGTGTTTTGGCCGTCAAATGTCACCGATTGGACCGGGTCTGTCTGAACCCCCTCCAGTTCGAATGAACTCACTGCCCCGTAAACAAACAAAAGTACATGTTTAGTGAGTTACCGAGCAAGGTTGAATGCATCGGGAGGTGAGTGAGTGGGTCTTTCTCTCCCCGTCTCCCCTCCCCACACCTGTTCCACCCGGGAACGTGATGTTCGTGATCATTGATCGAGTGTGCGTCATAGATACGAATGAACTAACCCGGAGTTAACTGACCTCTGTCGGTCCGGTAAGGAAGCGAACCACTCCAAGATGGATCGATAAGTCGGTCACCATGCATGAATGTGAGCATGATTCTTCGTATGAGTGGAGTCAGTCTAAGCCCACAATAACCCAATGGGTAAGTTCGATTGAGGCCGAGTTTCTCTCGAATAAAACCGATTCCTTTGAATCAAATGCGATTGCTCACGTATTTCTGACATTGAAGTACACACTTCACAAGATACTTAGCATGCATAAAATGATGGGGGTGACTACTTTAGTTAGTTTCTCCGCTCGAATCCAAATGTACGTGATTATTTTGACCAGGCTGGAATCAACCCCAACAGTTGATAGCTTGTACCATTTACACTCTAACGATCAGCAAAATGTCGACCTGCCCAACCTAGTCTACTGTTTTTACATGATCGTTCGGTTTTAACGATGCATGAACTTCCCGCCTCGACTTTTCTTTCACCACGTGTCCTGGAAAGCACTGCTTACCGAGGGACTGGTTCTGTATTAAATTATCAACGAACGCAAAGTGGATAACCAACACACTGTAATTGAAAATGTGCCCTAAAGTCTACGAACTATCTAATGCACCCGGCCTATCGACTCCAATAATGATAGAACTTTCCGACTTATATCTCCCATTCACAAAAACGTTCAGTGATTAGACAACGAAAAATGTATTAAAAATCAAGCATTTTGATAGTTGTCAGATAATGTACACGAACATGGTACGACAATAGTGATGACTGGTTGATGATCGCTGCATCAATTGGTGTGAAGAAAAGGACAGCGATGACATGAATAAGAAGACGTCAAGAAGAACCGTCAGAATTCACCCACGGAGGAAGGCGGTTCAACAAGTTATCACCACCATGTAGAGGAACTCATTTCATGGAGGGTGGTGCACAGTAGGAAATTGAACATGATCGTGGCATGGTCCCCGTTTTTATAGTGGATCCACTACCTCTATGTCGTCCACTAGCAGCGGGTCGTTAGTAAAAACGTAATCGAGCATGGATGAGACTCCTTCAGCACTCCACCTGCTGGGTCTTTGCACGTGCCCCACTAATTCTAGTTCGGTAAATTACTCTGGACACCCGGCCTGCATTGACTCCGCTGAACCGCAAAATCGATGAACCGGATATATATATAAAGGTACGGAATCTTCAATCCATCGACAACCGGTGTCGGGCACCGTTAAGTTTCCTGGTTTCAACTCTCAAATTTTCGTGGATTCTCCTTTTTACAAATAAGTATTATACGGAAGTTTAAGTGTCGTGCACCATAATGTTAGTCTATATTACTATATACATTTCACACTTGTATGGGGACAGACTGTATGCCAAGCCAATCATGTACAATAATCTTTATAAAAAAGAAAAACGTTTCATGAGTTGCGTGTGGGCTGAGTACTGTCAGGTTGCCCAGGTCAAGGCAGGTGAAATTTCTTGCAAAATCCACAACCGGAGCCTTCGGCTAGCCAAAGCCTGACCCACAAGGCAGCGGAGTGGTGTGTGAAAACCGCAGTCCATTGAGAGCCGGTGTCCAGTTCATCGGATCATGCGCCCTTCGGACGGGATCAAACGTCCCAGGTACCCAATACACGTCGATGTCTACTTGAGCCGGTGACCTCTGCCACAACCGAAAATGCGTGGATGTGGTTCGTACGCCTCCTCTTAGTTGGTCTGTAATCAGGGCTTTGGCTAACTCCCCTAGGTGAACTACCAGTGGTCCACCAACCCGGATGTCGGCTTTTCGTCTTCTCACTTTGGTGGGAAAACACCTCCGCCACGAGAAGGCAGTGAGTAGGGCTTCCTCAGTAGAGGCTTTTCGAGACGCTTGGTTGTATGGTAGCATTTCATGAGGTTCAAGGGAAAGGTGACGAGCCGCAACCCTAGACACCCACCCTCGACCATACTGAGGCTTTCGGAGGCGACGGTAGATTGAGATCTCCTATAATCAATATATAAGCATACCTGGGTTCCACAGCCCTATTGATGGACAGAAACATACTGGCGTCTTCTGGGACTCTTAAGTTTGGCGGCCGATAGACTACTCCAACCTATGTCTTTGTGCAACCTTCGGGTTTAAAGGTGACCTTTAAATTCTGGGCAGCTGTTCAAGAGTGGATGAGTCATAATAGGCGATGAAATAAGGGAAGTTCTGAGACTCTCGAACTTTCTCATACATCATCAGCACGGATTCCACAAGGGCCGATCTTGCTTAACAAATCTCTCCACGGCGACAAACGATTGGACAAAAGCAGACACGAAATGGCGTCAATGTTATATTTCTACACTTCTCCAAGTCCTTCAATAAGGTAACACATCGTAGATTATGCCATAAACTCATCGATTGAGGCATAACAGGAAGGTTGCTAAGCTGGCTGAAAGACTACTTCACTGGTCGTAGCTATCAGGTGAGAGTCAACAGGGAGCTTTCAAGCCACCTCCCAGTTCTAATTGGAGTACCACGGGGTTCTATACTAGGACCCTTATTCGTCATACATTATATCAACGGCTTGACGGAACTACCAAAAACTGTCTCTTGTACGCGGCCGACGTGATCCACCAACCCGGATGTCGACTTTTCGTCTTCTCACTTTGGTGGAAAAACACCTCCGCCACGATAAGATAACGTCAGTCTACCGCTTCATTTCATCGTTTCAACTATTTCCAATATTCTTTGCTTTTCCCTCGTCTGTATTTGCTACAGTCACTGTCATCCTATGCCAGCTCACTATTGTGGACGATAAAAAAGACTAATTTGATCTGATCCTTCTGTTTGCAGAATTTAATTTTTGGCGTTCCCACTCTCATAAAACAACTATGGACAAAAATCTCGATTATGCTCATATCTACAAAACATTGAATACAAGTGTTAAAAGGTATAGTCCTGTGATTAATTTTTCACTTGATTTCAGAGGCTTTTTTCGTAAAGCTAGTCAAACCAGCTCTACTGGTGATTTTGGTAACATGCCGTTTCCTTTAATTATTTTTCAGCTCTCCTGGCAAAAAATCTAGCATCCCAAGGATGCTCGGATTTAGCAGCTACCTTTTGGTTAGGCGAAACTCAGTAAGACAGTGCATAGGTTGGACATCCAACGTATTGGATTGTTTTTTAGATGTGAATCCAGCGCGAAAAATACACTTGACGAAGCCGCTTCTCTGTTCACCGCTGCTCAACTGTTCACACAAGCTGAAGATAAGCTGGAATGCATCAACGCCGTCAGCTACAATGAGAACTCCGATTGTGCTACTATGTGCCTCCTACGCGCTGCTAAGGTATAGTAGTGATGGTTAATCTCATTCATCATTCAAAAACCTCATTTTAGATATATGAAAATGGAGAACTATTCACTTTAGCCGCGAACGTTTACATATACCTCTGTGACACACTTATGGTTTGTAATTTGTTGTTTTCACAATAACAATCTGTCAGCGAAGAAAAAGATGGTCCGAATCATTACCATTCTTGAAGCGCGCTTTGGAAATTCTCTCAAGAGATAATTTATGCAGTCTGCATGTCCTTCGTAGACTTGTGACTTGTCAATTAAATCTGCGTATGTTTGTGTGCTAATTGGACTCATTTTCCCTTTAGGAGATTGGCCAGGGGCTCTCAATACTTGTTTGCGTATACAGACGCTAATTGCCGATCCTGCCGGTATGTGCGGATTGATGGTCTTACTACTAACGAGTCTATCCAATAGTCCGCAACGAGGACAGCTTCCCCATTGAGCTTTTTGGACACTACTGGATGACTGCAGAAGTTTTTCGAGTTTTTCTCATACTCCTTACCTGTGTAAGTTAAATGCCATTTTTGGCATTGTAAACTTTCTCACTTTAGCCTTCCCAACGGCTGAATGCTAAGGAAAATCAGGGTTATTCACTTAATCAATATTTATTTTCTGATGGGCGGGAGAAACTGGAGCGCACACTGTGTCCGCAACTGGATGACGATTTGTTTCTTCATCTCCAATCATTAGTAGTGAGTTGTTTGTAATTACACCTCGGTAACCTTTTTCCTTTTTCATAAATGTTTTCTTACTACTGAAAACTATGCATCAGTAAATATTTTGTCCGTGTGGGTTATAAAGAAGGATCATTTCATGTAGTTATTAATTATAAACCAAGAACGGATGAAAACATCGACTTTCGTATTGCGAAATCAGTTAGACAATCGTGAAACCAAGAAAATCAAAACACTCAGAAAGCAGTTATATCCTTTAGCAGTGTTCTCTCTGGGTAAAAGAAAATACTAAACATTTTACTTACATGCTCATAATGCGGAAAACTAAGTGCGTTAGTAATGTCGAGTCGAGGGACTCGTACGTAACCGAAATAGAGATCATCGGCGGTTAAATGCGTAGCCTGTTTTGGTTATCCTACCAAATTCAGTAGTCAAATCTTGTACCGTTCATGGCCCGAATACCATTTCTCCTAGTGGACTAGTGTTTAAAACACTGAAGCACTAAATTAATATAATGCGTAGCAAACCGAATAGCGATTGAGGCTTGTAGTCAAGATTATCGCAGTTCACAAAGTTGCACATTCCTCTGCATTTTGAACATTAGGTCCCCTTTATCCAATTCGTTAGAACCGAAAGAAGACAAATACTGCGAGATTTTAACATTTCTTTTAATCTCTTCAGTCGCTACAACATAAAACAATCTGGTATTTATACAAGCAGGTTTTGATAACCACAGTGGTAAAACGGACAATAGTCAGGGAAGCGGGGAAAAGGGTGGGGTGGGAAGTCAGGTCCATGGCAGTCTAACTGATTGAGTAAGAAACTTTTGTGCATATAATATTGGGTTACATAACTTGATTAGCATTTTTACCGACTGTGAGCATGTTAACTCCATTTTAACACTTTTTAATACTATTCATTCCAATTTCTTTCCGTTGAGGGAGAAAAGGACGGTTGTTTGGATATTTTAGATATAAAAATCAGGAGGGGATCAGATGGAACCTTGGGAAGATCCGCTTACCGGAAGACTACATAGAGTGGGAAATATTTGAAATTTGCCAGTTTCACTCCTGTGGCTCACACAAGAGGTCTGGTGAAGACCCTGTTCCATCGTACCAGGAATATATGCACCCCAGACACTGTCCAAGAAGAAGAGGCCTTTCTGCGAAGGATACTACTGGATAACGGCTATCCAAAGAAATTTATTGATTTGCATAGCAGACGAAAGACATCGGCTGATCTCGCTTGCGAAGTACCGAAAAAGAGCGTTTTCCTCAGACTCGCCTTTAAAGATGATCATATAATGAACGACGTGCGTCAAAAGCTCAAGACAACACTGTGTCGAAAGTTTCCTGCAGCACAGCTTCGATTGATACCGTATACCCAAGGATTTCGTTTAGACAATCGAAAACAGAACCAGCCGAACTGTTCTGCTTCACATATCGTCTACCAGTTCACTTGCAGTTGCGGTGACACTTACATCGGCAGAACGAATCGGCCCCTGGCACAATGGATGTCTGAACACATTCCCAAGTGGTTGGTACAATCGATGACGCAACAAAGTCTTAGGGATCAAACCGATAAGAGAAATCCAGGGTCATCAATCGCAAAACATTTTATGGCAACTAGACACATCTTTGACCCACAAATGTCGTTTAAGCCATTATTACGTAACTTGAA